ATAGATAGATAGATAGATAGATAGATAGATAGATAGATAGATAGATATGCAAATAAAGGCCAGATCAGACCAGGTTAAAGGCAGATAAATGTAGGTTTATTAGATGCTGCTCTTGGGCCAGGGAAGTTGAAGCACGGGCTAGGGTGGGGAAGTTTATAGACTGGCTGAAGGGTGATGATGTGTCAGCCAGCAGCTGGGTTTCTGCCCAAGTATGGCCAAGAACTGAGCACTTAGGCAGGGATTTGGGTCACTGGCAGCATTAGGGGGGAGGTTGGGACAGCTGCCAAGAATGGGGAACTGGGCTCTTGGTGCCTTTCCTTTGTTTAGACGCTTCCTAGTATGGATGGGGTTTCCCAGGTTGTGCAGGGCGAACAGAGGTTCCAGCCGAACACTAATATATACTTTCACGTAAGAATTAGTTAAGACTCTTTAACTGCCTCAGCAAAAATTCAGTTATTTTTAATGAGGAAAACATTGAGTAGAATTGCTACTTCTTATACACTTTTTAATACTTGTACACTTTTTTTCCTTATATACCGTATGTGTCGAACTTTGGACTTTAAGTAAAGATTAGTTTTCTTTTGCTAGTCACATTGTCCTAATGCTTGCTGATGATATGGCGTGCAATGCTCGAAACCCCAAGCCAGCCACTGTCTTCAGCCACAAGAACATGGAGCTCAATGTGTATGGAGATGACGTGGAAGTGGACTACAGAAGCTATGAGGTTCGTGGTCAGGAGCTCAGAAGTGTGGTAGCCATCTTTAAAGTCTCGTTAGGTGTCACTGAGCTTTGCTGGGATTCAGTCTGCTCTTGGAGTTGGACTGTCTCCTGTGTGCAGAACTCTCTCATGTCAGTTGTTAGGGCACCTGTCCCACACTGTGACCTCTAAGGACATTCATGTGTCTGTGTGTCTTACACTAGCCAGTGCTTGACTTAGAGCTCAGACTACTGTGCATCAGTGTTTGATTTCGCTTGATAAAGACATTCCCTACCTTGTCAGCCAGCTAGAGGTCCTGTTAAAACCGTTAGCATTTTGGTGTATTCTGGGAACAGTTTTAAGTTAAGCAGCTTGTGTTCATGCATGTTTCCCACTCATGATCTAGGAAGAAGTTTGTCAAAAAAAAGCTGAGTGGATTCTTTCCCTTTTAAATGAACTATGATGTATGACTCAGCTGTTAACTTTAAATTAGTACTTTTTCCCTACAATTTTAAACATGCCTTCGAAGAATCCCAGATGCCCGGAAATTCCATATTGGGAAGATGTGTTTAAAGAGTGTTGTGTGAATTGAAGATGCTCTGGTGGAGATCTAAGTGACACAATTCATCCAAAACCAAAGATTCATCATTTGGCGGGGGGTTGTCCTCTTAAGTGATTAATTTTCTATTGACTGAGTATAGGCCCAAATTATCTGCATGATGGAACCACTTATTTAAAAATGGTTGTATTTTTTGTCCTTCCAAGAATTACTTTTATAAATAACTAAACTTTGGGATTAATTTTAACACATAATATTTAAAATTTAAAATTGAGCATTAAGTTATTTTGCTTCAACATAGCCTCTTCTTGTCTTTAGTTCTTAGGTTTTTCTTTAGGTTGTGTAGTCTCATCTGGCCTTGAAGTTACATATTTCTTGCCTCAAACTGCCTCCTTCATACCAGGATCACAGGCACACACACACACACACACACACACACACACACACACACACACACACGAGGGTCACAGGCACATACAAACACACACACTCTAACACTGAGTCACTCAAAGATGCATGCTTAGCTTTAGCAATCTATTTTTAATTGAACTATAATTTGCTTTTTGCTCTATTTTCAATTTATGCTGAGTAATATATAGTTAGGAGGAATGTTTTGAATTTCTTCAGGTTTAATTTCATCTCATTGCTCTTTTTTAAAACTTTTTCAGGTAACTGTGGAGAATTTTTTACGAGCATTAACCGGGAGGGTTCCACCCAGCACCCCTCGGTCAAAGCGTCTGCTTTCCGACGACAGAAGCAATATCCTCATTTATATGACAGGTATGTCAGCTGCAGCCCACTGAGTGGAACCTGGCCCACACATGCTGACGTAGCAAAGTGAGCGCTGGTTAGAGTAGCGGGTGGTGCAGTTGTTCTTATGTCACTGAACTATTGAAGTGGTATTTGAAAGGGGAACAGGTTGAGGATCTTATTCTAGCATCTGAGATTGTGGCAAACTGGGCAAACATCGATAGTGGATGAATCCCCAACTTCCCCATGTGACAGGTGGCAGTCGGGGTGCAGGCACACTGAAAACGCACAGCTACTTTCAGCCTGTGCATAATGACACAGACCAGCTTCATGTTTATACCTGGGTCCCAGCCCCGAAATATCTGTGTGAGAGGCACTCTGCACTCTGTGGCCCTACTGCTCCCTCATTTTGGATGAGGGCAGTGCACAATTGTTTGTCTGTGTTGTCCCTGGCTCTTCACAAAGCTCTCCTGGTTCATTCCCTTCTCCTTAGTCTCCCGCTGTTGCAGCCCACTCCCGCTTTTATGCTCCTGTTGGTCATCCTCCTCAAGCATTTAAGAGAACTTGCATACCTGTCCCTTCTCTGCCAAACACTTTACAGCCCCAATTCTGCTGCTGAAGGATTGACTCAGTGTAGAGCTCAGACTTAGCCTAAAATTCTTAGTTTTGGTCTGGGGCGGGGCTTGTGTGGTGAGAACACCCCTGGATGCTGTGCTTGTAGGTTAGCTTCAGTGAGTGCACCAGACTTCAGGATCTGCACAGTTTACACTTATCTTCCAGATCTATTGCCATTCTTGAAAAAAGCTCCAGACATGAAGGAAGTTCCAGTAGTTCTAACAGTCTGGCAGTTTAACCCCTGAACTGCCACTTGTTGTTTCTGAGAGCGCCGGGGTGTTTGTTCTTGTACCCTCTACCCGCTTTCTGCTGCAAGGCAGAGTCTGGTAGTTTCGACAGGGATAAGCCAGTTTAAACACCAGGAAAGGTTGCTAAAGTCTGCAACAGAGCAGACCAGCTGATAATCGCGGTCATAAAATGATAGGAGCTGACGCTTTGAGGCTTTCTGTGCACCGTGAATGGTCTTAAATTGCTGTGTCTGCCAAGGCATCTCACCCTTAGCTGGCCTGGTGGTTCTGGCGCTGACATCCAGAGCTGCTACGCGTGGTTGTGTGGGTCTCATGGTGTGCACAGCACTTAGCCTGGTGTTAAGTGGAGCTGGCGTCTAGCAGGCTTTGACTAAATTGTGTGCCTCACTGCAGGATGTCTCACAAGTAGGAGAAACACGTTTTTCCCCACAAAGGCTTAGTCACCAACCACACACTTCACAGGGCTGGAACTCAAATAGTCCCTTTCCTCCTTCATTGTCCAGAGGAGGCTGGTACTGTTTACATCTGCACACAGCAGCCACACGAGCTGCTGATGCTGTCACTTTGGGGCTGAGGAAAATGAGGCAGAGATTAAGTTATTTGCCTGAAATAGCACCACCTGTAAGTGGCACAGCTAGTGTCTAGGACTAGACAGACTGGCTCTTTCATGTTCCCACCCCCTGGCCAGCTCTAATGGACTGTGTTCAGTGGTCAGGGCTAAAAACATTGTTTCTAGTGAGAACCACATTTCCTAGTAATACAGCATAGAGTATACACTGAGTGAAGAGCGGGCCGGGGACTAGTCAGCCTTTTAGCTTCTTTCTCACCACAATTAATTTAATGGGTAAAGTTATTTCAGATATACTAGTGGGGCCAAGTGGATTTATGCAATTGAATGATACAGAAACTCCTAAATAAATTACATGTACTGTTCTTATGCGGTCTAGGATTCTTCTTTTAGTTAGTATGGAAAATTAAATTTCCAGTCTATTTTAGGTAAGAAAGTAGTATTAAAACATTGCAGGAAAGGATGTGTTTGTTTCTGTGTCTGTTTCTGTATGCATTAGGAAATAGGTCAGTGTTGTCTTTTTGGCTTTCTGTAAGGTCATGGGGGAAATGGCTTCCTGAAATTCCAAGATTCTGAAGAAATCACCAACATCGAGCTTGCAGATGCTTTTGAACAGATGTGGCAGAAAAGACGGTAATTAGCAAGTACTGCTTCTCTTTATCTTTTAACCTCTTCCCTTATTTCTCCTGCAGTGTGAGGGTTGAACCAGGACTTATGCACACTGGGCAAGTGCTCTGCCCTGGGCTACGCACCCAACCCCAAACAAAGAACTTCTCTTTGCAAGATGAACTGATATCAAAGTTTCCTGTGAGAGATGTGTAATTATTTCATATGATTTTAGCTTGCCTGATCATTCCTTCTACTTTCTGAAATCTATATTTGTTATTTTATTGAATAGAGTTTTGTGAAAGAGAAATTCAGTTATTATTTAGCATGAATGAGCTGACTGAAACATTTTTTCACTTACTTAGTGTTGTGTGCATGTGTGTGCTTGCGTGAGTGTGTGTGCATGTGCGTGTGCTTGTGTGTGTGTGTGTGTGTGTGCACACTGTATTGTGCTGTGGGGTTCAGAGGAAAGCTTTGGGGAGTGGGTTCTGTGTGTGTACCATGCGGATGGTGGGCACTGAACTCAGGTTGTTGGTCTTGATCACAGAGCCTTTTCCCCTGGGGCCGCCATGGCTGCAGATTGACTTCTCCTGTCATGTAGCTGTGTGCTTGCCACCCCTGCTTTCCAGGGTGTATGTGCTTGAAGAGAGACTCACTGTCTAACCCAGGCTGCCTTTACACTCTGAGTTTCCTGCTTCAGCTCCTGAGTAGCTGAAGTTGCAGATGTGTGCTGCCAAATTAGTTCATTATGTTTGCACTTAGCTTCACTCAAAGTTTTAGAGCACAGGCAAAATGTAGCCAAATTCTTTGCCAGAATACAAATGGCACATCCCTAGACCAGTTTCTGGTGTTCTCCTCTGAGACCTGATGAGCACAGACTTTCCTGTCCACGTCTCTGTCGGCCTTCTGAGCTCCACCTGCAGCGCTGTGGGACTTCTGCAGCCCACAGCTCCAAACTCTTCCACACTGTCACAAGGTGTAGTACAGTGATGAGCCCCCTGTCAGTGACGATTGCTGCACTCATTGCTTTTCTTGTTGCTAGAGTACAGCTATGTGGCAAGCATATTTGGAGAGGAGAGACTTTGGCTGTAGTTCTGGAAGGGACAGTCCATCTTTGTAAGGAGGGCACAGTGACTGGGCGGTTCTGTTGTTAGTGGCCTGTTGACCTCTTGGAGGATGAAGAAGCAGAGACGGGAAGCCAGAGCCATGGGTCTGTGAGGCCTGAGTGAAATGTCCTCTAAGACTCACTTGCTAGAACACTTGGATCCTAGCTGGTGGCACTGTATTGAGAAGCTGTAGGGCCCTTGGATGGTGGACTGTGAAGGTACTGGCCAGAGCATTCAGATTGTGAACCACAGAGATATGAGGATGTCACCATCTCCTGCTACTATGGGTAGAGCTGGCCAGCCACTGTGCCTTCCCCTCTGATGGACTGTGGAACTGTGTGAGTTGTAAGGATGACAGCAGTAGCACAGATGCCACGCCTGCCGCTGTGTGCAGCCCTTGCCTCGTTCTTTAGTTATGTGCTTGTTTTCCCTTCAGTTGTACTTTACAGTGTGTAAGTATGGTGAGCATATGTATGAAATATGAGCATAAACAGAACATGCATATACATATGTGCTCAGGACTTACATCTCTGTGCATGTATGTGTCCAAGGAAACCTATGTGTCAGTTGTTCTTGACTCTCTGCCTGAGTTCTGAGTCATGTGGCAAAGAGCAGAAGGAAACAAATGGAGGCAGCTGCTGTGGGAACTGCTGCTCTTCCCTTTGGAGTATTTTCATGAGCAGGGTACTCATTTCAACCTTTAGCTATTGAGATGGCTCAGGCTGACATTATCAAATTATTGGAGAAATATTCATGTGTAGTTAACAGTGTGATTCATGTCAGAGACTTTGTCACTTTTCTTTCAGCTACAATGAGCTGTTGTTTATTATTGACACCTGCCAAGGCGCATCCATGTATGAGCGCTTTTATTCTCCTAACATCATGGCCTTGGCTAGTAGCCAAGTGGGGGAGGATTCGCTTTCGGTGAGTTTTCCCTATGCTGTTGCTCAGATCACTTGTTTTATGGATATACGTGCTATCCCTGGACTTTGTAAACAGGACATTTTGATGTTTTAAAACAGTTTGTTAAGCTGATCCTTTTGACACATACTTTCCCCCATGTTCACAGCATCAACCAGACCCTGCGATTGGAGTCCATCTCATGGACAGGTATACATTTTATGTCTTGGAATTTTTGGAAGAGATTAATCCAGCTAGCCAAACTAACATGAATGACCTTGTAAGTATCTACTGATTTGACTGCAGCGCATGTTTGTGCCAGCTTCAGTGGGGTGCATGAGGTCTGTTCTTCCCAGGATTCCCATGGGTGCTGGCTAAGCGTCATGGTGTGGCCTTTTAAATGGTTTTGAATCCACCTTTTTATTAGTATCTTCTTCTTTTAAACCCTTCACAGTCATGTTTATCTGTGTGCGTGGGTGTGCATGTACGCATGTGCAGAGGCCAGAGGACCCCAGGCTGGCGTCCATAAGTTATGTCCTTCTGTCATGTGTGTCTTGGGGATGGAAGTCAAGTTGTCAGGCTTGGTGGCATGTGCTCTTGCCCGCTGGGCCATTGTATTGTCTTTAAAGCCATCTCTTCACTTTGAAGCTTTGCCCACTCTGAGTGGGTTAAATCAGGCGATACTCTTCTAGGAAGGCTGCCTGAGTTTTTTCTTGGGATTTATTTTATCTTTTCAGAGCTTCCGTAGAACTCAATTTCTTCTTTGTAACACTTAGCACAGTCTGTCATTTGTTGCCCTCAGGCATTGAGTGAAGTTTTCTGTCATTTAATGTAAGCTCTGGGGAGAGAGACCTACCTTACATACATTGTTTTTGTGGCCCATAATTTCTTGGTACAACTTGAATTTAATTAAAATTTCCCATCTTTCCTGTGCTGATTGTGTCATTTTAATCAAGCAGCTTGAGGTTGCTGTTGAGTTGGCACGGTGAGAACTGCACTGTGGTGACGTCACTCTTCCCACCTGTTTACACGTGTTCATTCACACTGGGCTGGTCCTCCTGCCCTGCCCTCCCAGTGCCAGTATGCTGCTTGTACTGTGGCGGCTGGCTCAGGGCAGTCCTACAGTGTTTGTGTATGCCCAACACATGGGGGCAGATGCTATGTGCTTTGCTGGAGCTTAGGAATGGAGAGTGACCGGACAGATGGCTGTCTGTTCCCTTCACTCGGCAGCTCTTCGGGGCTCTCACTGAGCAGAGCCTTCCTGAGTTGCTTCAGGAGTGCAGGTGTCCTGCCAGACTGAGAGCCACTGCTGTTGGCTGCCACATTTGGTAGGAGTATTCACCGACACCAGGGTGAAGATTATACATCGTGTTACCTGTTAAATCCTGATAGGGCTTGAATATTAAAACAAACTTTTTATAATGCCAATTACATTTTCTAAGTAGATGAGAGGCATCACCTCATTTTTCTCTCTTACGAAAACATGCTTTCCCCCGAAAACTTGTGCCATCACAGAACTGGAGATGGATGGGAAGGGTATTTGCCTGAACCCTAGTAGCTTCTGTGGCCATTTATCTCACATGGGATGAGATAATTTACTCATTTACTTCAAGAATAAAATACATCACCTGTGCTTAATTTTAAAAGTTGATTCTGATTTTGGAATCATGGCATGCCACCTCAGAATTTTAAAATATGTATTGTTCTTTTATATCTAATGAATTTAAACATACTTTTCCCATTGAAATTTTATGGGAAGTAATAAGATGTTTAATTGATTACAGTATATATATTATGTAGTCTATCCATCAAGCATCTAACATCTGATCTATTTATCTGTCTATATCTATTCACATGTCTTACTAATATCGTACCTTGGTTTCTTGCTTCATTTGAAAATTCATTGATGATTATTTTCATGTCTTTCAATAAGAATAATCTATAAGTGCCAGGCATGGTGGCACATGCCTTTAACCCCTAGTGAAGCGGAGGCAGATGGATCTCTGTGAGTTTGAGATCAACCTGGTCTACATAGTGAGTTCCAGGACAGCCAGGGCTGTGTAGAGAGACCCTGTTTAAATAACACCCCAAAAAAGGGAAAAAAAGGGAGGTCCTCCTCCCCTTCCATCTGTGGGGAAGAGGAAGGGTTGGATTGGGAGGGGAGGAGGGAGGGAGTTATGGGGGGGGATACAAAGCAAATAAACTGTAATTAATAAAAATAAAAAAATAAGAACTGCAGGCTGATGTTCTCAAAAAAAAAGAAAAAATCTATAAAATGATCATAAGTATTTCTAGGTATAGCCATTTGATATATCTCTAAGTCAGAATAAGACTGGTTTTCTATTGGTTAGAGATACAGAGTAAAGTTGGCTGAAAGGGACTGTTATCATAGAACTGTGCTGGAAGATCTCATCTTCCTGAAAGTACATGGTGCCATTGGTCACGGTTGCTTCCTGTGTCAGACTCTGCACTCAGGTCATCTTCAGAAGGTGACTGTGAACTCTAGTAAACACTCCTTTTGCTTTTCACAGCGAATCAGAATTTTCTATTCTTGGTAATTCACTGATGTGGAATGTCACAGATAAACACAAAGTACTGTGACATCCATGAGTGCAGAAGTCATCGTTTTCATCTGCATCTTTGGAGCACTAGCATGTCTTGGAGGTACCTTGGGTTCCTTTCCACTGTGGTTAAACTAGTTAGTTTCCCAGTAAAAGCAAGAGCTAGGTTGTAGTAGCCATACTTTACCTTGCTAGTGGGCTTTTTATTTATTGGACTACTGTGGCACATTTTACCTGACTGCCAAGTTAGAGTCAACCCCCTCTGTGATGAATGTCTGGCAAGCTTCCTTAAATCATAGTAGAATGTCAGATACTACAATAGCAATGAGATGCTAGTCTTGAGAGCCTCTATCTTATCTTTAGGTTGGCAGACTTTAAAATACACTGTAGTCTAATATATTGTTTTACTTGATTTAATAAAAGTTGCTTGTATCTGTTTATCACTATAACTACTACTGTTGTTATTATTTTCAGTTTCAAGTGTGTCCCAAAAGTCTTTGTGTGTCTACCCCTGGACATCGCACTGACCTTTTTCAGCGAGATCCTAAAAATGTTCTGATAACTGATTTCTTTGGAAGTGTGCGGAAAGTGGAAATCACAACAGAGACTATCAGTTTGCAACAGGATTCACAACTCTTGGAGAGCAGGTATCATTTTAGTTATTTGGATTGAAAGTTCTAGGCTCGTGGTTATAATTTTTACAAAATGTACTGAGAGATGAAGGTGTTGTTTGTAAGTGGTTTTGAGTGTCTCCTCAGACTTCAAGCCATATGCCTTTCAGGTTTATGTACAGAAGCTGTAAATATGGCTGGGACGCTGCAGCCATGATTGGACTTTGATGTTTTCCAAATGCAGGCAGGGTTGGGCCTACTGCTATCTGAGATGTTCTGAGGACTCTTGAGCTCTCCACAGCAGTCTGTCACTCAGCCGCATTTTGCTGTTGATGCTCTTGGTGATTGGGTAGGAATGGCAGAAGAGAGACCTAAGCCAGAGGTCGCTGTGATGGTGGTGATGTGTGCGTGCATTTGTGTGAGAGAGGCTGGAGGAAATTTGTTGAAGTTGGGGGTTTGAAATATATATAATGCTGATTTTTTTTTTTTTTTTTGTAATTATTTTTGAAAGGCAAAATCCCTGATTGGGATTAAATGATGGTTTGCTTAGTAGAAACGTTTGTGGGAACTGTAGGGATGTGTTTCTCTAGCAGTGACCTCTAGTGTTGCCTGCCGCCTGGGCAGCTCATACTCCACAGGACCTTTCTGGATCACCAAAGGCAGCATGTGCTATCTCAAGGATTTATAGTTGCAGTACGGAATGTAATAGAAATAAATTAAAATGCCAGGAAAGACTTTTCCTTGTTCTAGAATTCAAAGACTTAATTTTTTTTCTTTATCAATTTCTTATGGTTGTTGGCCTATAAAACTGTGAAGACAGCAAGAACCACAGAAATAACAATTTCATTTCTTTTTAAAATAATAGCCTTAAAATTACCTTTGTAAAAATTGCTAGAGTCCATTTAATACTTTAATAAGCTGTATTGTAATTTAATACATTTAACATTGTATCTTACCAGGTCAGTTTTATAATGATCCTTGACCTCAAGTCTGTGACAGGCTATTTTACTCCCATTTAGCCACCCAAACACTGATGTCATCTCCATTAGAGACAAGGGTGTCGTTACTTCTTTTCTTCCAATGCTGAACTGTATGTGACATAACTGGATGCTGAAGAGGGTTACAGTGACAGTGTAATAAGTTTTGCTATATATTCCGGGAGGGGGTATTTTTGCCTCTTCAGTCCTATCTGTTTATTTGTTGGAAAGCAAAATTTTTAGTCTTGACAATTGTCTCAGTTTATATTAGAGGATAAAATTAAATTTTACAGCTGCATACCAAGCGTCTGTTGTTTTAGGGCGCCCTCTAGTGTTTGCTAAAATTTTTCTTTTGGGTATTGCTGTTTACCTGGTGATTTTATAACTAGTTTAGACAGAGCATAGTGCTGTGCACGGGTGTCCCCATCTGTTTAAAAGGCTCAGCTATGAAGACTGCTTCCAAGAATTAGATATCCTGTGCCTCGTGCTGAGACTCTTCAAAAACATTGTTCCTTCAGTTAACATGAAAATTCCATTCCTGCTTTGCTCCAGGAACTTTTTACATGTATGAACAGGTATTATCTCATGTGTGCAGGTCTTGTTCACACAGATAAGAATGACAGTCTATGTAGAGAAAAGTCTATCCACCAAAAAGCAGATATACCAAAAGTGCATTTTATGAAGGAAATTTTGGGTTACACTGTTATATACTTTTTCAAATTTTAGATCAGCAATATTAATACAATGTTACTAAAATACTAGTTACATTTAAAAAATGTTCTCACATAATGGAAACAATGCAGCATATTTGTTCAATTGGCATTTTATATTTTTGTGTAGTGACTTAGCAAAGCCCTTAATTGATTAGAATGAAATCAATAGTATGTAAAACTAATTGGAATAGCTGTAAGAAACAGAATTCCTATGTGCTTTCTGAATCTTAGGCATGCTAAGGTGATGTCACGGAGCTGCAGTGAGCAGAAGGGTACAGATTGCTCTTTGACTCAGTGTGTTTCCTTCAGTTAATTGTGTTATGTCTCTTGTGCTAATATTTTATTTGTGAAATTCATGTATGTTGACCATTGCTATAGTTTTTCATTAAAAACCTTTTCATATAAAAGGTGGTGGTGGCACATGCAGTAATACCAGCATTCAGAAGGCAGAGGCAGGCAGGTCTCTGTGAGTTTAAGGCCAGCTTGTTCTCCAGAGCAAGTTCTAGGACAGCCAGGGCTGTTCTTGAGAAAGCAAGAATTAAGCCAAACCAAACAACAAAAAGATACATTGTATGAAACCTTCAAATAATAAAAATATTTTAAAATAAATGATAATTCTGACAAATCTAAACAATTGAATAACATTTCAGTCTGTCATGCTAGGTACTTTAAGACTAATTTCACCACTGTGCTTATTCATGCACCCTGATTATTTCCTGGGCCCACGGTACGCCTTTTGTAGGCCAACATGTATGGGGAGCCATATATTGAAGCACGTTTTGAATCTGGCCTCTGTCCTTAGGGTAATATGTTTGCATGTGAATTGTGTCTGCAGCTCCTTTTATGCCTGGGAAATAGACTTTTTATAGTTATCCCCAAATTGTCCATTTACTGACTGAAGGCCATTTCTCCCTATCGCAGAGTTTGGAAATTATTTGGAAAAAAATACTATAAAGCATTTGCACACAAATGTTAAGATTTCTTTTAATAAGAGTATAAAGATCAGAGTGGAAGTGCAGGCTTACCTTGATAAAAAACTTCTAAACCGTTTTTTCAAAGTGACTGTCACTTTGTATCCCACAGATAATCACTCCGTATCCTCACTTGCTCTTAATGTTTCCTTTTAGCAATTCTGAGGAGTAATATTGCATGGTGGTTTTAATTTGTATATTTAATGACTGAAGATACTGAGCATAATTTTATTTGTTCATCCATACATTTTTCATAAAGAATCTTTTGAAGTCTCTTGCTCATTTTTAAAGTGTTGATTTGTTTCCTCATTAAATGCTGGCAGTTCTCTGTATGTTCTGGATACAAGTTCTTTTTCAGATAATTGATTCACAAACTGTTTTTTCCAGCCTTGGTTTACCTTTTATTGTAGAGGCTCACTATTGGTTGATTTATCAACTTTATCTATGTTTAGTGCCTTCTGGGAGTTATTCTTTGCCTAACCTGAAGTCACAGAGACTTCTAGAACTTTATAGTTTCAATCTTTGAACCTCTGATACATTTTCAGTTAATTTTTCCATATGATATGAGGTTGTGGCTGAAATTAATTTTGCTTATGAGTTAGCTCCTTAGTTTCTTACAGAAACCCTACTGGGATTTTGATTGGGATTGACTGGACTCTGTTGGTTTGGGGAAAATGGCTAGCAACATGGGGTTTTATAGTCTGTGCACACATCCCATGAGTTACTTGGATTCTTATCTTCTATGTGTTGCTTAACAATTTATTTTTTTAATGATCCCTTATTTGGCGAGTCATATAGACCTTGGTATTGCCAAGCCAAACCCCATCAGCAATCCAGCAGAGGTCTCTTTGACCAGACACTGACAGCTTGATTCCATAGCTTGTGAAAGTGACTGCCGTGTGCATGGATCACCATATGCATTCCAACAAGTCTGTATCCACTAGGAATTACATCAGAAGTTAGGGTGGGTGGTTCATGGAAACATGTGAGTGTTGGATAAGGTTTATCCCACATGTCATGGAACCTGTGTTTACAGTGTTCCCTGAGCCCTGCTGCCGTCACTGGTAAGCCTGCGAAGCGTGCGCTGCATGGTGGGCGAGCTGATCACACTGCTGAACTGCAGAGTGGGAACATGCACTGCATTCTGCAGTGCCCTCCGCGGCTCACGGGCCATCTGCTTCATGACCTCACCACCGTTTAACCTCGGATTATCTCAGGTTCTGCTAAGGTGGAACTGAGAAATTAGGTGATTCATTTGATTTACAAAGACAGAATAACAAGGAAGTCATCCACTTTGTCACTGTGCAAACCTGAAATTCTTATTGTAGCTTCAGAATGTATTGATCATTTCATAAACATTTTAGTAATTTATTTTACCACCTATAGAGAGCTGGAGCACGCATGGCATTGCGTTGGGACTTCTGCGAGGGCAGTGTGCGACCAGTGCAGCTCTAATTCAGCATGCTGCATTGGAGTGCCAGGTACTGCTGTGCCCGCATGACAGACTCCAGCTAATAATTGCTGACACTGCAACATACATCAGCGCAAGCTAGCTTTTCTTAAAACACTGAACATTAGAATTTAAAATTAGAAACTGTGCTCAATGTAAAAATGGTGTGATTCTTTGTTTGTCACTGGCCGTCTGTTCATGGGGGACTCAGGTCGCTGAGGTTCCTTTCAGACATTTGCCTCTGTCCCCCACGCTCTGATTGTTGTATTCGTTATAGTACTGCTTCATTCCAGTAAGTTAAGCATGAAAAGTTTCTGCATGATGTGGGAATAGTACAGCATAACAGCCACCCCGAGTTGGCTCCCGGATTCAAACCCTGTGCGTTCACCAGCTGCTTAGCCAGGGAATTCCACTCGAGCTTTCCCCAGTCTCAGTGGCCTGTCTCATACGGTCTCTGTGGAATTTGCTTTGCCTGTGTTTATAAAGTAAAAGGCAAGAGTCTCTGCTTCTTATGCAGCTGAGTGCTTGATCGGGTTGGCACTGAGAGAGCTGGTCACAGGCGTTGACAGAGTGCTGCCTGTACCCCATTCTACAACTTGTTTAAAATATCTTCTGCTGTTCTTAATGCCAGCTAGTCATTTGACGTTTGGAGGTTCCTCTTTGTAGGACTGGGTTCTTTACACCAGAAGATGGCAGCAGCATTTTATGTTTGTTGGTGTGTAACAGACCTTTCTGAACCGCCGATGATTGAGGGAGGGTGCAGCCCTAAACACACTGTGGTGCTCCCTTCTCCACCCTGCGGAAACTTTTGGTACAGAATTGTCAGCTCAGGAAAGAGTAGTAGATTTCTCTGTGTGCCGTAAGAAACTAGCAATATGCAATTCTACTTCTAAGAAAGCTAAAGCTAAAGGCTACTTTGCAATCA